TCCTCTCCCAACCGCTTGTGTTGCCTGGCGGTGCCCGCAATGTCGGTAGCGGCTCCGCCAGGCAGACATGTGACCTACATCCCCGCACAGCCGCCCATGTCCTTACATGACTGTCGGCCGACTGTGAAGGGTGAGGAGGCGGAGGACTGGCCCTAGCAGCGCAGGGCCCCAGCATTGCCGCTCCAGCGGCTTCGAGACAAGCTTGGGCCCCATCAGCGATGCTGCTCGTCTGATGTCGTACTGGCTGGAAGTGACGTCACATTATGGTGGGCTCTGCAGGGTCACTCTCAGGTGGGTCCTGTGTGTCGCTAAGCTCTGCGTCCAGCGCGTCACTAAGCCCGTGTCCAGCGGCGGAGGGGGTGGGGCCCGGCCTAAAGCCGTGTAAGGGGCCCCAAAATTTCTGACGGCTGCCCTGCATACAGTGCTAATTATTTGTCATCGTCCACATACACTTAATACTGCAATAGACTCACCCGGGGGGCGGGCTGTAGCAAACCGCTGCCATCCAATCACAGCAAGGCACACGCCGCTCCTCCTACTTCCCTGCTCACATGCTTTTAGCCTCACTGTTTTGAATTGCTCGGTGTTGTTCCCTGTTTTTTCCGCCCTCACCCTGCAGCGCCCTCAGGCGGCCGCCTGACTTGCCTTGCGGTAGCGCCAGGCCTGCGGGAAAAGCTACTCTCATAGAGAACCATTAGCATCAGCACTGGACTTATCCTCTAAGCTACTAATTGCAAGTATTCCCTCACTGATGATCTGCTTGCTATTCCTGTTGGGACTTTATGTTCTTGAAGCTGTGGCACTGGCCATGTTCAGGCATCGGATCTGCTATACTAAACTAACGTGATAAGTCTGGTGTGAGGAAACATTGGCGTGTACGTTACACTTTCTGCATTATATGGACTGTTATGTGAAGCTATTCCCGCGGTGAGGAAACACGGGGACTGCACACGTTATTATTCTTTGCTTATATAAACTTCTATACACTATACTAAAGCAACCTGCCTCAGACTCTGCAACTGTGATCCCATCAGGTATTTACTAGGGATGCACCGATACCGATACTAGTATCGATATCGGTGCCGATACCGAGTATTTGGGCGGGTACACGCCCAAATGCTCCGATGCCTATCCCGACACTTCCTGTATCAGGAAGCCGGGACAGCGGGACATTACACGCTGCCCGGTTTCCAGGGGCGTCCCGAGGCTGGGTGACACACGGAGCGGTAACCGAGTGTCACCCCGCCGAGACGTCACTGCGCATGCATACTGCCGCGTGCGCGTGATGACGTAATCGCGCACGCGCGGCAGTATTCTGGTACCTTTTGGTGTCACCCCTCCAATGGTGTCAACCGGGTGCGGGCCGCACCCCCCTTGTGACGCCACTGCCGGTTTCCTGATTGGCCTGGGAAGCGGCTCCATGCTCTCTCGCCACTTGTGCTGAGAGAGCATGGAGACGGGTCTCCCGGCCAATCAGAAAAGCAGGGCGCCGTGTCATTACACGCCGCCCGGCTTCCATGATTGGCCAGCAAGCCGGCTCCATGCTTTCGCGTCACACAGTGAAGAGAAGCATGGAACGGCTTTCTTGTTAATCGGGAAGACGGGTGGCCAATCTTTACACGCCGCCTGGCTTCCTGAATGGGACTTCCGGTACTCGGTAATTGGTATCGGCAAGCACCGGAAAAAAAATATCGGTACTCAGTACCAAAATACCGGTATCGGTGCATTCCTAGGTAATTACCCGATCTTCTCAGCGTGCGTGACAAATACATATTGTATCCATTTGCTTTTTCCAGATACAAGTTGGCAATCGGTGACTTAGACTGGAATTCCTCTTCATGTGTTTCCAGCTAATAAAATGTACACAGCAAAGAATGTGTAACTCACCGGATTCCCGCTTTCTCCGCCATCGCCCTTCTCTCCGGGTATACCGTCAACACCCTGAGTATCAGACGAGACCATTGTTACCATGACAATTCCAAAATACAGTCTATACAGAAAATGTGCACGAGATCACGGTCCGGTATGTTTCCGTATAAATCTTACCGGTGTTCCAGCCTCTCCCCGTGGTCCTGGGTCTCCTGGAAAACCTATGGCACCCTAGAAGGAGGATACACACTCAATGAATACAAAACATTTGCAGATTGTCTAAATGTTATTATTGTTCAGATTCATTGAAAGCCGACATTCTCAGCCAGGGTTCCTCCAGACATTCCTAGGGGTTCATTATTCCCGCTGTACACCAAATTAAGGGGCATTCTCCTCACTGACAATACATGTAGGGGGCATTCTTCCCGATGGCCAACATTGTAAGAGAGCCTTTCCCCCAATGATGACCAGTGTAATGGGGTCTTCCTCCCAATGACCACCAAGGTAACGAGGCCCTTCTCCCAATGACCACCAGGGTAATTTAACCCTTCTCTCAATGACCACCAGGGTAATTTGACCCTTCTCTCAATGACCACCAGGGTAATTTGACCCTTCTCTCAATGACCACCAGTGTATTGGGGCACTTCTCCCAATGACCACTAGTACATTGAGGCCTTTCTCCCAATGACCACCAGTGTAATAGGGCCCTTTTTCCAATGACCACCAGTGAACTGAAGCACTTCTCTCATTGACCACCAGTGTAATGGGACCCTTCTCCCAATGACCACCAGTGCATTGAGGTCCTTCTCCCAATGACAAACACTGCATTGAGGCCCTTGTCCCTATGATCACCATGGTAATGGGGCACTTTTCCTACTGAGCAACATTGTAATAGGTCCCTTCCTGCAATGACCACCAAGGTAACGAGGCCTTTCTCCCAATGACCACCAGTGTAATGGAGCCCTTCTCCCAATGACCACCAGTGTAATATGGCTCTTCTCTCAATGACCACCAGTCTATTGGGGCATTTCTCCCAATGACTACCATTGCATTGAGGTCCTTCTCCCAATGACCACCAAGCTAATAGGGCCCTTCTTCCAATGACCACCAGTGCATTGAGGTCCTTCTCCCAATGACCACCAGGGTAATATGGCTCTTCTCCCAATGACCACCAGTGCATTGAGGCCCATCTTCCAATTACCACCAGTGCATTGAGGTCCTTCTCCCAATGACAAACACTGCATTGAGGCCCTTGTCCCTATGATCACCAGGGTAATGGGGCCCTTCTCCCATATTATGAATATTTCATTCATTTTAATTTTTTAACTAAGATAATTCTGCTGTAAAATGCAAGCCCGGGATTTTCAATACGCTACAACCTACTGTTCACGCCAATGCGTGATATAGCAACTATTAGCAGGACACCTAAAAGTTATTTCAAAGATCCCTCCGTGGTATAGAAGGTATGGAAAGGCTGCGTTCTAATGTACTTCTCATGATGTATTGTCATTGAGGCCTATTCTGTCTCAATGTGTTTTATTGGATTTCCAAGGTATAAGACATACAGACAATGTCAAATAACAGTTGTAAAGGGAACAACGTGTCGCCTAGGCATCAGGTTGGCTTTCATTGAAGAAAATCTTTCTTGTCGGTTAGTGGTAGAGTCTATAATATAGGTCTGCAGAGGTAAGAGTGCGGTTTGCGTTATGGTAGGACTAACCAGCCAGGGGGGGAAGGGAAAGGAGGGAATGAAGAGTAAGTAGAGAAACATTGAGGCCTATTCAATAACACATTAGAAGAGCAAGAAAAGACTGGAGGAAAGACCCCAAGTGTATGGACAGCTCATGTAGTTGTAGTTTGTTGTCTTGTTTTAGCTTGCCCGATGTATGACATCAGTTATATAGGACGAGCTCTGTAGGTTGTGTATGCATCAAGTGAACTCACCATGTTCCCCTTGGGTCCATCTTCTCCTGGACGTCCCTTCTTCCCAGGAGGTCCCGCCGCTCCCGAAGCTCCAGATTCCCCCTTCTCACCAATATCGCCTTTACCTCCCTGAAATAAATCCGTCTTTGTTTAGTCAAGGTTCTGTAAGTATTTTTGTCACTTTGTTTCATCTACGCTGACAAGTTCTTCATCTACATATTTCACATTTCATCTTATATGGTGAGGTATTACAGTGTCTATTCGGAATCAAAAAAGATCCATTGAACAGCTCGGATGAATGATATGACTCTACAAGGGTCACACTGGCTCTTGTATGGCTGCTTCCATAGTTCCATGGTTCTATGGTCATTCAACACCTATTGGTCATATTGGACCATCACCATGAGATCCAAATGTAATCAAGCAACTGATCGTCAGACTGAACAGCTATGGTCTGCACAACCCAGTAGCCACACGTTTAAAGGAATGTGTTCTTTCATGCAGGGGCGTAACTAGAAATCACAAGGTCCCATAGCAAAATTTTGTATGGGGCCCTGTGACTTCTAGTTACGCCAATTGCAGAGCCCACTTGAGATCCCACGCAGGCCACCTGAGGGTGACCCTGCAGAGCCCACCATAGACTCTCTATGGTGGGCTCTGCAGGGTCACCCCCAGGTGGGCTGGTCACACTCCTTACCTGTCCGCCTCCTCTTCCTGCACGATCGCTGATGGGCCCCGCCTCCTCCTCCGTCGCCGGGCCCGCCACCTTCTCCGTCGCCAGACCCACCTCCTTCTCCGTCGCCGGGCCCCGCCTCCTCCTCTGCTGCCGACCACGGGCCCCGCCGCCCCCTCCGCTGCCGGGTCCAGCCTGCTCCACCGCCGCTGCTGGCTCTCATTAACTCCGCAGCGGCTGTGGAGATGAACGCGCTGCTGCACAGATTGCTGTCAGTGATCTGAACAGCAGCGCATTCTTCTTCACAGCCACCAGTGAAAGCCACCAGCATGAGATGCCATAGCGACCCAGGCGGCCCGCACGGCATCTGGCCGGGTCCCCCTGTGCTCCGGGCCCCATAGCGGCCGCCTGGGTCGCTATGGCGATTGTTACGCCACTGCTTTCATGTAAGGCTCTTCAAAAAACATCCGAGGCAGGGTGCCTCCCACCAAACTCGATCTTACTACAGAGCAAAAACCAGGAGAAAGACCCAGAGGGTTATTCTCTAATGAGCCGAAGGATCCAGCCGTAGCTTCCGCTGATCCTTCAGCTCACTTCGGTTCGACTGCTGTACGGTCTATTCACTATGCTTCGGCTCGGCTGAGCCGTAGTGACAGGCGAAGCGTGGAGAAAGGTCGGCCGAAGCCGACCGATCTCCATGCAAATGACAGCTCACGGCTCGCCCCGCCGGCCGTGAGGTCACTGACTCTGACAGGTGTCAGCCAATAGGTAACAGTTGGGTGAAGCTAGCGGTGATGAACACGCTAGCTCTGCCCAATTGTTTACATTTTGCCGGCATGTGTCAGATTTAACATTATACGGCGGGAGTCCGTCGCGTGCGGTCGGGCCGACGTGCGTCTTTATTTATTTATTTATTTTTTCTTTCAAATATTTTTCATCATTTTCTTAATTTATTTTTAATTTTCCTATTTTTATTATTTTTTAACATTTTTTCCCCATTAATTTCCTTTTTAAAAAAAATTCTGCACTCTACCTCGGAGGTAGCGAACAGAATAGCCGAGCCGAATGCCGCTCGGCAGCGTTGGGCTATTCATTCACTGCCGCTTGGCCCCTATGAGAATATATGAGAATAGGGGGCGAACGGCAGCGAGTGAGCTGCCGGAGCTTCGGCTCAGCCGATCCAGATGTTGGATCAGCTGGGTCGAACTCCTTGTGCACTGCGATGTACTGCGATGCACGGCTGATTTTAGCTGATGTACGCCTGAAATCGGCCGTACAAGGCTAAAGTGAATAGCCTTTGGCTTGGTTATTCACTTG